CTTCAGAGTTTCTTCTGACATCCATTTTGGTCTTTTCTTCCTCTTCTGTCTTTGTAATGACCGTTTGCACTCTTCCTGGATGATACATTTGACATCCTCCCACACTCATCTGGTCTTCGCTCATTAGTTGTTCAAGGCCTCAAACCTGTTCCTGAGATGATTCTGAAATTCAGGTGGGATGAAATCAAAGTCATATTACATACTGATAATTTTATAAACTGTCCTGCCAACCATGCTCGCTCAACCTTGCCCGATTGTGGGAGGCCCCAGGGCTGTTGCAACACTGAGACCATCACCTGTCCAGTCCATTGGCAGCTTAAGATCAGTCAGCCCAGACTGGAGGAACTTCACACCCAACCCAGGGTCCACCCACCAAGACTTCAGTTTTTCCGTCAGTGCTGAGGGAATGGTCTGAATAAGGGCGACACTCGGCATTTCTTGCTGGTGCTGGCAATCAGCAAAGTAGAAACAAAATGGATTGCAGCAGCTAGCTGGCCCACTCATCTTCTGACCAAGCAGACATCTTTCTGTTGAGAAACTGCTCACACTGTCCTTGATGCAACCCACATACTTTCTAAGGATGAGCCATTTTGCCGTAAGGTGGGGGTAGTGGGACAGGTTTGTATATTGTTTGCATCATGCATAGTAGACAAAATCTTAAGGCCACCTCTAGGTCATTGCTTAAGAATAGAATTTTTATGTGTATAAATTATTTTTATGTTATAACGGATTAATTGGTAGGAGGGAGGTGATACCTCCTTTAACTTTTTATCTGATTGCCTGAAATTCTAACCATGCTTTTAACTTATTGTTTTTTATCTAACTTTGAAGATTATTATCCCTGTCTGTGTTTGAATAAAATCCTATTAGTGTTTGTAAAAACAAAAAAAATTATAAACTGTTAAATATGTGTAACACTAGAGGGATGTGCTTATTTTTTCCCCTAAGTTTTGTTGTTGATACAATGTCAGTCTGGAGACTAAGGTGCGCCTGATAACAGGCCATGGTCTTTGCAATTACTTGTTATGCACCAGAAAGCTGGACGATGACTAAAGATGATAGGAGAATTGATGCCTTTGAGCTTTAGTGCTGGAAAAGAGTACTGAATATACCATGGACTGCTAGGTGAACAAACAAGTTCATCTTAGAGAGGCTGAAGACAGGCTGCTCCTTGGAGGCAAGGATTCTGAAGCTCCGTCTAACATACTTTGGACATGTTGCAAGGAGAGACCAGTTCTTGGAGACAGACGTCATGCTTGGGAGGCTGGAGGGACAGTACAAGAGAGGAAGACCCTCGGGGAGATGGATTGATTCAGGACTAGGGTAATGGGGGTAGATTTGTCAGTGACAATAAGATTGGCCCAGGATAGAGCAGAGTTTAGGGCTGTTGTAGAGGGTTGTTATGAGTTGCAGGCGACTCAACGGCACATAACAACAACAAAAACAAATACATATGGCAAAGCTTAAGTTGTTTCAGTGACAGGCTGAACCATCGCAGCAGCTAAAACACTGATGCAGAGGTGATGTGGAGAGGGTTATGGACATATCAGTACCAGCTACACTTCCATAAGGGAGCCATGTGGTTTGTACGGTATAACCAACTCAAGAATGTTGGCACAAAGATGAAAAAAAAAATCAAAGATAACACAAAAATGGTACCCACGCAGCAACATTCCTAAAAGTCAGACACTCAACTCCAAGAGCTAAAAGCTTTGGAATTTTATAGATCTAACTCATGACTTAACTCTCGCAGTACTCCATCTTTTCCCGAATAAAATAAGGCAAGGCTGTTGTAGTTCATGAGTAATCAGACAACTTAAGTTTGAAAACAACCAAAAGAATATTGTAATGCTAGGTGAAATAAAAAAGAAATAAATCCTCTCTTACCTCTAATATCTGCCGCCCATATGTCTTTATCTGTTGGAGCTCAAGGCCCTGAATCTTCTTAGGGTTGCAGTATTTCTTCAGGAACGGGTCTTTTGGTTTTGCCTTTGGAAAAGAACAAAGAGAACATGCAAAAGCAGCAGAGGCCTGACCCTGGCATGGGGGCTGCCTGGACTGGCAGGTCTTCAGAGAGACCAGGAGCTTAGGCATGACCAGCCTACGGGATGTGAGTTTTAAATACAACAGTCTGTGCGACTGATAAAAAAGATAGTGACCTGATTTCTATTCCTTCTCTAGCTCAGGGAAGATGTGCCTGGTCTTGACTTTGGACGCACTCTCAAAGTTTTGCTTCCGATTAGAATTCTTCACTATTGCTTTGTTAAGTAAAGATCACAAACATAAAAACGGACCCACGATGAACAGCCTACAATAGAATGGTCTTGGTCATTAAAGGCTCGACCTTGTCTCATGCTCAGAAAAAGGATGTTTCTTAACCAAAAGAACTTTGGTTATTTATTGTTAAAATAAAAATAAATTCCGGACTCCTTAGGGTCTAATTTCTAGACCTTATTTTCAGAGGCTGTAATCTGCACGGGAGATGCTGGTGGATTCCAATTGTCAAGAAAGATGTCACCTTTGGGAGCACAATTCCCTACAGACTAGGCCACCTGAGCTCCTGGGAGATCAAACATCAATCATGATTTTGAAAGGAATGTGAGAACCTCTTTAAGAGCATGAACTTGTACCACAAGTACCTTATAGATCAGGTCCTTCAGAGTTCCTTTTTCATGAAACATCCTAATTAGCAATGCTGAGGATTCATTAGTTGTGGCAAAGGTGACTCGATAGATGTAAGGGTGCTGCCAAAACAAAAAGGAAATTCACATTTATTCCTATCAGCATCTAGGTCTCTCTCTTTTTTTTTAATTTAAATTTCTTATTAATTTCAGAAAAATTTACAGAGATTTTGGATTTGGTCATTCATTATTGCACTTTTCTCCCCTCCCAACCCTCGCCCTTAGTATACTCCCCTCTTGGAAAAGTAAAAGAAAAATTCTTTCATTGTTTTACAATCCCTCCCCCAGGTCCACTCCACTATGCAACCTTCGCTCTGGACTCCTGTCATGACAAAAATACTCAATCACATATCCCTTTTAAACAGTTTTCTCCCTCATCTGTTTCAATGCAGTATACATTATTGAACCCATCTTTCTCAGTCTCTTCCCAACCCCAAGGTCAGTCCTGTTTTACAACAGTGGCACCATGCAGTATTTGTCCTTTTGTGACTGAGATACTTCACTCAGCATAATGTCCTCCAGAGTCACCCATTTTGAATAATGTTGCATGAGTTCCTTGTTTTTCATTGCAGCATAGTATTTCATCATGTGAATATACCACAGCTTCTCTATCCATTCGTTTGTTGATGGACACTTAGGTTGTTTCCAACTCCTTGCTATTGTGAACAAAGCTGCAATAAACATGGGTGTGCATATATCTGCTTGGATGTCACTTATGGTCTCTTTGGGGTATATTCCCAGTAGTGGAATTGCTGGGTCAAATGGTATCTCTATTTGCAACTTTTTGAGAAAGCGTCATACCGCCTTCCACAGTGGTTGCACCATTTTACACTCCCACCAACAGTGAATAAGGGTTCCAGTTTCTCCACAACCTCACCAGCATTTGTTGCTTGCTGTTCTGTTAAATTTTGCTATTCTGACTGGGGTGAGATGGTATCTCATAGTTGTTTTAATTTGCATCTCCCTTAGAGCTAGGGATTTTGAACATTTCTTCATGTTCTTGTTAGCCATCTGAATGTCTTCTTTGGTGAAGTGTCTGTTCATATCCTGTGCCCATTTTTCTATTGTATTATTTATCTTTATCTTGTTGTGGTGTTCAAGTATTTTATAAATTCTGGATATAAGTCCCTTATCTGATATGTCATTACCAAATACTTTTTCCCAGTCAGTGGCTTTCCTTTTTACCCTGTTGGAGAAGTTTTTGGATGTGCATAGGGATTTGAGTCTTAGAAGATCCCATTCATCTACTTTATCTTCTCCTGGTTGTAGGTGAGATCTCTTTTTTTAAAAAAAGTGATAAGTCTTATTTGTGCTGAAAAATTAGCTGTGTACATTATCTAGGTCTTTTTAGATCCAGTGTCTGACTACTGAGAGTCAAATTTAGTTGTATTCAGCTGTGGCGATGACACATAAACACATGGCATTTTCAAGTTCTTAGATGATTAACTAACATCTTGTTTTTGAGATGAGGCAAGTAAACAAAAACTATACTGACTGAAGGAATTAGGTTACTAATGTGGTGAGTAACTAACGTGATGGTTACGTGTGTGTTCTCACAGTTACGCAAAGTATGGCGGGAGAGAAGGGGAGCTGAGCTTTTGGAACAGTGGCTTTAATATTCTGCCTCTGTGAGATGGTGAGATAGTCAAATTGCAGGCAGCCAAGTGGGGATGAGAGTGAAATCTGTCTCGCTCACAGCTTTGCCTAACATTCCACACGGCTGGTGGTGCCAAGTCGGGGAGCATGACAGACAGAAGACAAGCAAAAGCAGCGTCTTCTGGCATCTTTCAGTCTTTCCCAAGGCTGAGCGTGACTGTCCTCATCTTTCCAAATGAGTCTGCTGTGATGACTCATGGTGACCTCCTGAAGGGACAGTGACGTCAACCAAGTGAGGGTGAGGAAAAGACAGATCTTTTAGTGACTGAAAGGAAAGTCCTTATACGACCTGGGAGTTTGGTTACATGAACAAACTGGCTCTGGACAAGTACTACAATGCCCAATGCTCAGAGTATTGTATCATGAAAACTCAAATCCACATGGGCGAAACTGTTTATGGAGAAAAGGTGGAAGACTGTGTCTGTGAAAAGACAGTAAATGAACATGAATTATCTCCTGATCATCACACCAAAATGGCTGTTGGTGACTTTTTTAATAACTTTATTGCAGGAGTGGCATCCACTTCCCAAACAGCAAGCCTCTGGAAATTCTAGGAAGGACGATAGTTATAGAACGGTTTCAGGCCTTTTGTTCACAGGGTCACTATGAATTGTGCTCAACTCGATGGTAATTAACACCAACAACAACATTGAGATAAAGTTCATAGACCATTATAATTCACCCATTTAAAGTATAAAGCATAATGGTTTTCATAACATTGTGCAATCATCTTGCTATATCTCTTTAAAAAAAAAAGGAAAGGAAAACAAAGACTTGAAATCAGGGTGATACAGGAATTGGTTTCCCTCCCAAGTCTTCCTTGGCTATGCATTACCACTGCACTGTGACACAGTGACCCCCATCTACCTATTCATCTACTCACGTATCTTCTTTCTATCTATATGTACACACACAAAATTTTAGTAGAGTATATACTAGAATCATGGAGTTTTGAATGCTATGTTTCATTATTTCCTGTCAACATCTTTTCCATGTTTAATGGTTGTGGATTACTTGATATTATTGGATGCCACCATTACAATGAAATTTGTATTTGTATTAGTATAGCTAGTTACTTATGGGAACTAGGCCTTCAAACAAATTCTTCCTATTTCAGTCAGTACTGTCAAAGAAAAAGCAGAACAGATTGGAATTTATAAAATGTAGGTGTACCAGAACAAAAACCAGCATAGGAAAAATTAAAGGCTGACACCCTGTTAGAAACTTTTCTCCCTCATAGAAAACACAGGCAGTATGCATGCTGAGAGTTGCACAGTAGCCAAATCTCTTGATTTGCGGCAGAGTAGAAAACGATGGTGCCCAACCTCAAAGATGGTCATTTTACTATGCCACTTTCACTGTATCTCTCTGCACTGCCCTAGTAATAATCCAATATCATTCATCCAGCTCCTTAAACAGCTCTCAAGTCTTCCAAGTCTCCAAATACATGGCTCCAATCTGTTGAAAATCCTGTCATTTACATGCTTTTTCTTTTGTTAACAGAATATCTTTTTAAATTTTTTTTCTTTTCCTCTTTGTGCTATACCACTGATAGGAACTAGAATCTCACTATCATCAAGAAAAGAGAAGCAGAGAGTGCAGCATGTCCTTTGGGCCAGAGATTCCTGTAGGAGACAGAGCAGGAGTCAAGACTACTAGGAGCGGCAGCGCCAGAGCTGGGTAGAGAACCAGAGACCCATGTGAGACAGAGCTGAGTGGGAGCCGCTGCTCCCAGAGCCAGAGTCAACGGCTTTGGTCTAGGCTTACTGGTGGTGAGCCAGGGTGGGGGTGAGGAGAAGGAGGGACCACATAACTTGCAGAGGCCAAGGTAGAGAATTCGAGGATCAGAGAAAGGTCTGCCTTTGAATATGCTTGAGAAGATGCTGCCTGATGGAAGAACTGTATCCTTAGCGTTTCCAACCTGAATTGGAAGCTGTTATTTCCCTAATAAACACGATAACTATCAGTATAACCTGTGAGTTCTATGTAGCCACTGCAATAGATTACTGAGCTGAGTGGTAGAGTGGTAAGAGCCCTTGGAGAGAAAGGTGGTGTTAGCCTGAGGGAAGAAGGTGCAAGCGACCTCAGGGAAGTTAGCTTTGTGCTGCTGATGTTCTAAACCCTGTGGGGTTTAGCGGAGTCCAGATGCTGCTGTCTCTAAACCAGATAGATTATTTTCACATTCTTAAAAATTGCAGTTTGAATGAAAATTTACAAAGCTAATTGGTTTTCCATTCAACCATTCCTGTATATTTCGCTTTACAACACAGCACACAATATATACACACTCTTCTGACTTCCTCCCTGTGATTCTCATCATAATCTACTTTTAAACATTTTCCTCAACCCAAAAAGAAACTCAGGGAATAAAAATCCTTGAGTCCATATTGATATAAATTAATTAATAATTAAAAGACGCGAAAGAGAAGCATTTCCTTATGGTAGAATAAAAGATGTAGAAGAAATGACTGAGAGAAACAAAATCTCAGTGAATGCTATAACTGGTAGGCTAGATGAGCAACAAGATATTTTTATAGTGTCAAAGTATCTGTTCAAAATTTTAATTCATTAATTAGCTGTAAGTATCTTTCTTAAGAAAACAAGGATGGGTAAAGATGTTAAGCTAAAGATTGCCCACTATGGCTTTAAAGAGAAAATAAAATGAGAAAAAATTCTAGAAATAATCCAAATATCTAGTAGAACAACTGTTGAGTAAACGGAGATACAGCCAAATAACAATTGTAGGTAACCATATAAAATTACACTGCAGTATAGTTATTGATAATATGTTGAGGTATAGCCTTAAGGGAGGGGGATCTGAATTTAAAATAATTTGTACATTTTTAAAAATGTATATTATATAACAACTTTTAGAAAAGTAACATTGGAATTCTGTGGTTCTTATTTCTGTTTGGTGGGCTATTTTGCAATTAGTACCCACCACTTGTATGCAAAGTGTGGAAGCTTTGTCTCATCTCACATACTTTGAGCATGTCCTTAGGGGAAGCTATTCTTTGGAGAGGGAACTCTTGCTTGGGAAGGTAGCGGGTGGGCGATAGAAAGATGACACAGTGACTGCTGTAATGTGCTCGAGTATGTCTGAAATAATGAGGATGGTATAGGAAAGGACAGGGGCCAGATCAACTGTTCACTTGACTCAACGGCCCTTAAGAACAACAAACTGTGGTACTATAGTTATTCATCTGCTGCTACGTGAAGGTTGGTGGTTCAAGCTCAATAGCAACTTGTGGGAGAAAGTAGCCGCAGTCAGCCTCAAAACTGTACAGCTTTGGAAATCCTAGGGACAGCTCTTGAATCTTCACACACACAGACCAAGGATAATGAGCATCAATGCTAACCTAACTTCCTACTCTGATTAGCTTTTCCCTCAAAAAACATTTTGAAACACATTCATGTAGTACCCCAACACCAAAGGTTTGGGTTAGAATAGAGCATTAGCAGAAATAATGCTAAAACTTTTAAGTCAAATAGTTCACCAATTAGATATAACTCAGACGGCAAAACTGCTCTTTAAGCTTTCCCTCACAATTTCTCTAAATCTGTATTCATTGTTTTCTTAGACTAGATACATAACTTCTCAGTTGACGACCTCAAAGCCCTCTCTTCCCCAAGCAAATAAACCAACCTCAAACTCATTGCTATCAAGTCGGAACTGACTCCTGGATTATCCTCCAGTGGGTTTTCGGAGGCTGTAAATGCACGAGAGTAAATGGTCCCTCTTCCTCCTGTGGAGCAGCTGGTGGATTCCACCCACCTGCCTTTGAGGTGGCAACACAATTCTTTACCCACTAGACCACTAGAGCTCTACATCCCCAAAAAGAGGAGGATTGGAGAAACGGCTGGTTTCCTACCCTGATGTTTATTTAAAATATAAAGGCTTTGCATAAATGATACATTAATATATTTCATGACTTGTTTAGACACATGAACATCATTGCTTGTCATTTATGAGAACCAGTGTTAGATTAAAAAAAGATAAATACGGCTAGAGTGAAAACCAACTCATAGCTGACCCTCTACTGGGTTTTCAGTGGTAGTTAGTTGTATGAGAGGAGATTGCCTATACTTCTTCCATGGAGCAGCTGGTGGCCTCGTACCATGTACCTTTGGGACTGAAGTGCAGCTTCTTGCCACTAGGCCACCAGAACTTAACATTGTTCACCACATCAAAGATTTTTTAGGTATGACTGGTCTTTGTCTCTCTCCCAAGTTCACAACACCTTCCTACAGAATCAAAGCCTCATTCAAATTCACAGTCCCTCTGACAGGGCAGAATACACAAGGTAAGCCCAGGTCTACTTGTACTTACTTGCAAATCTAAACGATTTCATCTATGTTTTTACTCCATTCCCATGTATCTACAGAGATTTCCAGCTCTTCTGTATGTTTACCCACAAGAAAAGATTGTAATTCTGTGATGACAATCACACCAGTACCAAGGTTAGCCAAAGGACTTGTACTCACCGAACAGGAAGGAAGCAGTTTGATTAAACACTGAAAATCTTTATCTGACAGGTACTTGTCAGGGCCAAGGTCAGCCTGAAAACATGGGAAAAATATCAGAGTTCTGCCTTGATCATCAAAAGAAAAAGTTCAAGTCTTTTTCTGTCATTTCACTTGTTGAAATACATAACTACAAACCAAAGATGAAACTCAGGTCTAAGTCTTGCTCCCTTAAGTCCATTCTGGAGAATAATCCCAACAACTCATTGTTGTCAAGTGAGAACCAAATCACAGCAGCCCTTCCCCTAGGTTTTGTTATTGTTGTCTGCCGCCGGGGAGGACTGTCTCCTAGCTGACCCGCCAGCAGGTTTTCAGAGGCAGTAACTTGCACGGGAGGAGAGTGCCTATCCTTCTCTCAAGGAGCAGCTGGTGGACTCAAATGGCACTATTGGGATTTGCAGGGCAGCTTCTTACCACTAGGCCACCAGAGCTGACTGCCATTGGGCTTTAAGGTTGTATATGGGAGGAGACTGCCCATCTTTCATCACAGACATTGGTGGATTCAAACCGTTAGCAGGGAAACTCCCTATGGACTAGGCCACCAGAGATCTTTCTCTCTTTCTGGAAAAGTGGTGTACAAACATAAATAATAGGATTCAGCTACAACTTTATCCAATTCATTAACCAAATGCACCACTCAAATTCTCAATGTAAAAGACATAAAATAATGAGCAAGCATTTTCTTTGGAGATAAACTGGAAAATAATCACCTTTAAAGAGGTTTCAGAAAACTATTTAAAGCTGTTCTCATTTACTCCCAGATGTGTACTGTTGTTGTTAGGTGCTGTCAAGTCAAGTATAACTCTTAGCAACCCTGTGAACGACAGGTCTGAACCCTGTCCTATCCTGTACCACCCTCAGTCTCCAACACCCTTGAGCCCATTGCTGCAGTCACTGTGTCAATCCACCTGCTTGAGGGTCTTCCTTTCTTTTACTGCCCCTCCACCTTCTCAAGTATGATGTCCATCTTCAAGCAACATGCCCAAAGTATGTGAGACAAAGTTTCATCATCTTTGCCTCCAAGGAGCATGCTGGCAGCACCTACTCTAAGACATATGTTTGGGATATCCAGCGCTCTTCTCTAACACCACAGTTCAAAGGTATCAATGCTTCTTCTGTCACCTTCAGTCACTCTCTAGCTCTTAGATGCATAGCAAGTGATTGAAAATATTGTGGACTAAATCAGGTGCACCCCAGCCCTCAAAGTGACACCATTGCTCCAAAACCATTTGAAGAGATCCTTGACTATAGATATTCCCAGTGCAGTACCTCGCCTGATCTCCTGACCGCTAGGATCAAGTGTATTGACTGCGGATCCAAGTAAGCTGAAGTAATTGACAATTTCAATCTTTTCTCACCATCTTTAATGACATATAGCCAAATGCTTAAGCAGAGTGCCTTAAAATTATTATCCACAGATACAGATCTGAGGGGGCTGGTATAAAATCAACTGAGACTTGAGAGCATAACACAATTTCCTAACTCTGGTCAAACATATTTTCATAATCTTATTTTATCCCAGAGATGAAAAGGAATTTAAAAAAAAAAAAAAAAGAGGCTTACCCAGCTTAACACTAGCCATTCCTTTGGCTGATTTTTAATCTTCATCAAGAAATATTTCTTTCTTATCCTCCAACCTGCCATCAAAGCAGAGACATGTTTATAGTAAGACAATTTTTCGACCAATTGACAAAGTAACTATTAAAAAATAAGACTGGGGAAAAAAAAATAAGATTGGAAATACTATCCACAGCTCTACAGGCACCAACTAAACAACCACTTGGTAATGTTGGCAAGATAAAGACTACAGTAATAATAGTATAGAAAAGATACTATTCTATTTGTAAAAATTGTTGTTGTTTATTGTCTTTGAGTGCAGCACCACTCATAGCGAACTTACTGAACTAAAGACCTAAAGCCCCTCTACCACTATCGACATTTATCAAAGTTCATAGTTTCTGGAGGCATGTTGTTTAGGAAGTGGATGCCAATCCTGCTTCCAAAATAGGAGGAAGAGAGCTTAAGTGTACCTTCAGTTCAGATTTAGCGTAAAAGTCAAATGAGAGAATGGTGATTCTTCTTTTTAAATAATAAATTTTTTCTTTTCATTGTGATTTTTAGGAAAGTTTACAGAAAAGTTGGATTTTCATTCATTCATTGTTGCACATTTTTCTCCCTTCCTGTCTCCCATGAATGGTGATTCTGAAAGCGGAAATTACTACCATTCAAAACTACCAGTAAGTAGGGCTTCAGCTAAAATTCATTATGTACTTATTTTTCTTTTTTAAAAGTTGTTTCCTTTTTTAGCACTTGACCCAAGTCACAGTACGGTATTGTTTTTAAGATCATGATATTAACGAAAGTTTACAGAAAAGTTTGAATTTTATTCATTCTTGCACATCTTCCTCCTTCCCTCCCCTCTAGGCATTTCACAGAGTTTCAAAAAAAAAAATCTCTTGGTCCCTACTAATCCTTAAATAATGCAGTGTGTAACGCACACTGGGAGAAATTCAGGTAGAAGCAAAATGACCAGGACCTGCTTTTCTGATGACAGCAGAGACCCGAAGTTAAGAGCTCCAGCTTCAAGCAGTAAGGACGAAATAAGAAGCAGTCATTTTCACAGAAGCGTGTTCTTGAGGTATGTATAAGAAAGCGAGCCTAAGGATCAAGCTCTGTGGGTTTTTTTTTCTTTAATTATTATTATTATTAATTTTAATGAACATTTACAGAGACTTTGAATTTCCATTCATTCATTGTTGCACTTTTCTCCCTGCCCACGCCTCCACCACTACCAGTTCATTCTTCACTTTGAAAAGTAAAAGAAAAATTCTTTTATTGTTATACAATCTCTCCCCCCCCAAGTCCACTCCACTATGCAGCCTTTGTTCTGGGGGTTTCTCATTATTCTTTTGTAACAGAACAGACAGACATGCAGGTTTCTCACCTATGTCTTTCAACGGTTCTACAACCTCCCACTTGGGTTCCGAGCGGAAGAACATGGAAACCTGTTGCAAGGCGATCTCTGCAAAGATATTTGGAAATACATTGTTAGGCAAATATCAGGGAGAAGCCATGAAGTCAACATGTGATTCCTGCCAATGAAATCCTTCTTACAGTACTTGATTACTAATAATGTAGAAAAAAATGCTTGATGGGAAGATCTCAAACATGTAAACTAGCTGGCCTAAACCAAGAATGCTATACACGCCCCAGATTATAACATGAACACATGACTACACTGTGTTCTAATGTCAGCTTGGAGCAGCATTAATGCTGCTGCACGTGATAGTTCACCCACCTCCAGTCCTCCTGGAATCCTAGCTTTCACCAACAGTGACGTGATTAGCTTAATTATATACTGGAAATACAAGCTAGTGCTTTAGGGTTGAGGGGGGAAACTGTTTTAGAAAAATAACATGTTTTTACAAGGAGAAGTCACCCAGTACCTATTTACTGACGGGGGTGGGGTTCATCCTTCCTTTCATATTCTTTTTTTTTTTTCTCCCCTCCCCGCCTTTCGTATTCTTTTATGATGAGAATGTTTCCCCCTTTAAAGACAATGACCAGAGGAAGTCTGCTACAGTTCAATGTATTAAGAAATTATCAGAATAAACGTGCTTTTACATTTCCTGCAAAAAAGCAACATCTGTACTTTGCCACTTCCCCTCAGGACAGTAAGTAAATAAAACCACACCAGATTTCTGGAAGCAAATGGCAGTCCACTGACTTCACTGGCATTTCACCTCTGCCCTCCATTAAGGACATTCTGGGCCGACTGGTGAGGCATGCAGGGGAGCACAGAAATGCTCTCCATAGGTCAAAACGCCCACGTCTCGAACTACCGTGCCAGAAAATCATTCACTGGCTATTTCTTTACTGACTCAACATGTAAGCATCAAAGTTACTCAGAACAAAAGGTTCTACAAAATACAAACACAAAACTGGCTCCACTCTCATTTGTCCTAAGTGCCCCAATGGGACAAACTAGCTGGAGGGATCAAGAGTGTCAAAAACAGCACCTTTGTTGACACAGAGGATTTTTAATATTTCCAAAATAACTTGAACATAAAACAATTTTAAGATAACTTGAACGTAAGCAAATTCAAAAGGAAATGTTCTTAAGCAAAGATTATTCGTATAAAGAATAATTTTATAACTGTGGTGCAGTTTCATTCTGAGAGTCTGTGATGAACAGCTGGTTCAAAACTAAGAGTAATTCATAATTTTCCACAAAATTATCATTCAACACAATTTACTGTGTATTGCTTTAGGTCTAAGGGAAATGGCAGTGAGCAAATGAAATACGTCATTAATAAACTACGGACTGGGAAAGGGCTTTTTTTTTTAAACCCTAGAGGTCAGGGAACTGAAGAAAGACTATTTCCTTTTCATTAATTATAATTTAAGCAACATATTTCAATGTTATTCACTAATTCTTGTGCACAAACGTCTTTGCTTGTTCCACATGTCATTACCAATGGAGACCACACTTCTAAACCTACCTCTGGCTGTAACTTACGTTTCTGGGTTTATTACCCATAGTGTATGGGGTCTCACACTTGTTTTGCTCTGATATTTGCTTCCCACGGCCCCAGAAGATTTGCCTGCCCCTCCTCAGCAGTTTCCATTCCTGCACATCACAAGGCCCACCTTATCCAGGAAACCTGTACTGGTCCTCTGACTACTCTCTGTCCGTACCTCCTCTGTAAACTCCCAGTACTGTTATTGCCTCTCCCCTTATAAAACTCAGTCATGACCTGCCCTGTAGTAGGGTTATACAGTCTTCTCTCCCACTGGACTCTGACATCTTAATTTGGATGAAGCCCACAACCATATGGAGCTATTTCCCTCTTTCTCCTTAAGCTGTTCTGCCTGGAGTGCTGCCTCTTGCCGTAGTTAACTCCTACTCACCCCTCAGACCTATTACCTTCTCTAGGAAACATCCTTCTATCCTCAGATCTGAACTGTCCGCTCACCCAGCCATCCTCAACCCCCCAGGTACTGCCCTGTGTTTACCTGCCTGGGCCTTCACTCATCAGTCTTTCAGCACAAATGCTTTCGAGGGGGTGGGTTCGAGGCCTATACCTTCCTCACTGCTGTATTAAAACACCTGGAACATAACTAGTGCTCAAGAATACCTGATGAAGCCTGTAGGAAGAGCTCAATACATGTTCAATGGATGGTGAATCACTCTTCCATGTGAACATTAAATCTCTGAAAATGCAGGCCCCCCGCCTCAATTCCTTTAGTATTGACCGTGCAGGAAAACTGCTAACTCAGTAAATGCTCATAACCAAACCCAAGACAGGAAATGCAGGGAAGCTGTCCAGCACGTTCTCGGCTTCCCACTGAGCACAGGCTCCAAATGCAGCAGCTTCCCCCACTGTGAGCAGCCTTTGAACTCCTAGATCCCAATCCAAACACAGCCTTTTCCAGCCTTGAGGCTGGAGTTCTTTCAGGGCAAATCCCAAACTGGGCCTTCAATCTCTCCAAAATAACCTCCTCTTGTTTGAGTATCACTCTTCCCTAAACACTCTAAGTGTCACTACTTTGCTGCTAGAAACCATTACACAAGATCTCACCCTCCTGGGGCTCTGGGACTAGATGGGGTTTCAAAACTCTTGCATCCATTCACCCCTTCCATGCTTCCTATTTTATAGATCAGGACACTGAGGCTTAGAGAGAGGAGACATTGCTCATGACCAACCTAGGGCCAGAATCTAGGCCTCCTGCCACTTGGTCTAAATGACTCCTGCATGGACATTAAAAAGCCAAAATCATGATATAATAGGGGTGAATGACAGCTGTCTGGTAAAATGGAGGAAAACGCCAAACAACCCATACTCTTGAGTGTTTTGCTAGAATTAGTAAGGTAGGGTGGGAGTGTGTGTGTATACATTTATAACACAAATGTCTCTAAACTGGAAGATGTCTGTTTCCCTGTGGAATTGCTCTCAAATGGATTTTCAAATTCAAATACATTAGTCTTAGAAGGAATGCAACCAGAATGATCCTGAAAAGTAAGGCTGGTGAGACTTTGGGTCATGTTGTTGTTATGTGCCATTGAGTCGCTTATGACTCATAGTGACCCTCAGCTCGGAACCTCACTCTATCTTGAGCCAATCTCAATGCCTCTGACACACCTAACCCCATTACCTCAGTCACTAAGTCAATCCATCTGAATTCCTTGCATGCTTTCTTTGGGTGACAGAAATTTTCCATGGAAAAAATTCTTAGAAACAAATAAGAATGAGGACACAACATACCAAAACCCTTGGAACATTATAAAAGCAATGCTGCTGAGGCTCTATAGAAAGCTAAGGGAAAGTTTAAACACCTTTCTGTGTAATTCTTCTTTCTAAACATTCTTTGATAGTTACCAGGGATGGGAGAGGACAGAAGGTAGGAAAAACAAAAAACTAGGCCAAAAATACAAATGACATTGAATTAGGAAAAGACAATACACAATAAAGAGATGATCTGTACAGTATCACTAAAGAAAGGAAGACAGACATTGGAGAGGTCCTTGGCAGCACTTTGCCAATGCAGAATGTCTTTTGATTTCTTGATTGCTGGCACAAGGGTGTTGACGGTGGGTTCAAGCAAGATGAAAATGCTAATAACTTCAATGAAAATGCTAACAACTTCAATCTTTTCTACATCTATCATGATGTCGAGATGTAATGCATATTGAAGGCAGTGGTCTTCAGTAGTTGCTTCACCGCCTTCATGTTTTGCAAGCAAGGTTGTGTCATGTCCATAAAGCAGGTGGTTTTTAAGTCTTCTTCTAATCCTGATCCCACCCTCTTGCTCATAAAGCCCAGGTTCTCAAATTATTGCTCAGTATACAGAACAAATAGGTATGGAGAAAAGCCATAACCTTGATGCACATCTTTCCTGATTTTGAACCATGCACTGTCTCCTTGTTTTGTTTGTATAACAGCTTCTTGATCTGTGTATACATTTATCACGAGCATCATTAAGTGCTCTAGGATTTCAATTCTTAATGTTAGACATAATTTATTACGATCCACACAGTCAAATGTCTTTTTTTCAACTCAGATACACATCTTTCTGGTATTCTCTGCTTTCAGCCAGGACCTATCTGACTCTAGTAATGATATATCTAATTCTGAATGATATGACCTCCTCTGAATCCAGCTTGATTTTCTGGTAGTTACCTGTAGATGTCATTTTAAAAAATCTTCTGCAAGATTTTACTTGCATATGATATTAATGATATCATTCGATAATTTCCACATTCTATTGGCTGTATTTGTTTTAAAAAATAAAGGCAGCTCTGGTGGCCTAGTGGCAAGAAGCTGCACTGCAATCCCAGAGGCACAAAGTTCAAATCCACCAGATGCTCTGCTGGAGAAGGAGGGGCAATCTCCTCCTGTACCAGTCAGATCTGATTTGACGGTACACACACAAAAAAACCCAATAAAAATTTTAAAAAAAAATGGAGACAAACAGGGATCTCTTCCAGTTAGTTAGTCAGGGTCCTGGTCTTCCAAATTTGTTGAAATATGTGCATGCTCGGGGCTACATTTGTTTGTTGAAACACTTCTATTAATATTCCATCAATTCCTGGGGCCTTATTTCTTTGCCAATGCCTTCAGTACAGCTTGGACTTATTCCTTTAGTATTATTGGTTCTTGAGCATATGCTACTTCCTTAACAAGTTGCTACAAATGACCGCAAATGTGTTTCTAAGCATGGTCATCAATTTTAAAAGTGTGCAGCAACGTGTTAAATGGTTCCGTATTCACCAAATCTTTTTGGTACCGTGACTCTGTGTATTCTTTCCAACTTCTTTTGATGCTTCCTGCATAATTCAAGGTTTTGCTTGTAGAATCATTCAGTAATGCAACTCAAGGCTTGAATTTGCTCTTCAGTTCTTCCAGCTTAAGAAATAAATGCCAAGTATATTCGTCCTTTTGATTTTTAAACTCCAAATCCTTGCATATTTCATCATAATATTCTGCTTCATCTTATCCAGGTGCCCTCTGAAATCTTGTT